TTAGTGTATTACCAACTTCGTGTCGGTTGGAAAGTATCTTCTCATTGAGCGGAAACGTACAAGATAAAAAGCGAAAGGCATCATTCACAGGTAAGTATACTCTGCTGTATTAAGTGATACTTTATTTAAAATAGTGTATAAGTGATTAATTACTTTGTTGTATTTAAAAGCAACTAATTTTGAACTTCGAACAGGTTCCACTTTCGCCGCAATAAGTTTTGTAAAAGGAAACTCAAAGTCTGTTGCCGCCATTGACCGAGATACTGGAAGATTACAAAGATGAAGCAAATGATATTTGAGACAAGTATTTAATTTCTGACAGCACACAAGCCTGATGGGGATTAGGGGTTAAATCCGTCGATCCCATTAAGCTTGTGCGACTGCCAATACTCGATAAAGTATCTATAAAAATTAGAATAAATATTAAACCATTTGGTTATATACCTTAGTGGGGACAGTGCTCATCTGCAATAGTATAACAATAAGTATATAATATAACAATAAGTATATAATATAACAATAAGTATATAATATAAATAAGAATAGGTTTACATTTGCATATAGACATGCGTACATGTCTAATTGCATGTACACATACCTATACGCTTCCGTATAGACAAAATAATAAAGCAATCGACATTAGAACACATACCATGAATATTATCTTTCCTCATAAAATGAGCGCGAAAGCGAATTGTTAGTGACTGTATGCGTAAATACATACAGTAAACACATACACATACATATACATGTACATACATACGTGTACACACATGCGTAGACACATACACCTGAACACATACACAAACACATTAAAAACATGTACACCTGTGCATACATAGTTACATACGTGTACACAACTACACACATACAAAACCCTGAACCCTAAAACCTGAAACACAAAGGCCATGGAAGATAATAACTAACAATAAAGCAAGGTATATACAGATAACATACTATGCAGAGTCCATTAAGAGGAAGGTGTGAAAGCTGGGGATCCCTTAATGGATTACTCTGTATAGTGTCCTGTATTTATTTGTGGAATAAATTGGTACAATGCAATATATTGAATGATGTCCTATTGTTAGTAAACACATGCGTTAACACAAACAGTAAACACATACATATACATATACATGTGCATACATACGTGTACACACATGCGTAAACACATACACACATGTACACACGTGCATACATACGTGTACACACATCCATAAACACCCACATACTAATTATCTGAATTTTTGACAACCAATCTCATAGTAAAATTACTAATAAAAATTGGATTGTTACCATTATGCCTTCTATCAATTAAATTGGTGGTCAACGAAAACCCACACATATAATGATCAATTTGCTGTTATACTCATAATACTGATCCCAGAGTGCGGTAATCAACTAAAACTAATGAAAGTATGTGGATGGTCACATACTTTGTATTATGGGCGGTTATAATGAATATTTAGTTGTGTCAGTCGGATTCAACAGTATTGTGAAACAAATTCAAGCTAAATGGTTTAGTCAACTTATGGCAGATTATCGTGATTATATATTATTCAATCGTCATGTCCTATAATTCTGTATACGTTACAAGGAAGGTCACATTAGTACAAGCAACACTTTATAGACTATTTGGGGACACATGAAAGCGTCAGCAAGTCAAAACGCATGTTGGGGCTACCTTCTTTTGACTACGGAAAATATTGAAAGTAGTCAAATTTATATATCACCTTTTAAGTATGAAAACTGTATAGAAATTTAGTGGTCAATATTATATTTATTGGCCAACACATTCTGGCAACCTGATTACGTGATCGTCAAAATAGCTATACAACGGGGAATATATTACAGATCATTACGTTATATATGTTGTCATTCACAGACTCGTCACTCATAGTATCAATCAATTATCATGCCACCACAGTGTAGTGTTTTAACGTGTGAAGGCAGAACCCATCTAGTGAGATTCCCGACAAATACTGAAGTACGCCAAAAATGGGGTTAAAATGGTACGAGAGAATGTCGATTATTCCCGAAAACTACTAGCTTTTCCAGGAACGGACGATGGATATGTGTATCTCACTTCCGATCTTAAATGGTGAAGCGTACCCCACGGGTGTAATCAAGCTCCAAAAGAATGCGCTATCTCAACTAAAATTATCAGCTGACTGTGACAACACCAACGAGCATACCAATGAAGTTGCGAATTCGACAACAACTCTACTACGTCCCGCTGCTGATCACACTCTTCGAACTTTGGGGGATGTTGTAAGATGGTTTGGTGCATACTATGCCAATACGAGCTCGAAACTGAGGCATGACAGTGAGGTCCAGTTGGTCTTTGGTCGGTTTTTGTTTAATGAAAATCCTATGACAGCACCTTTGTATATCGAATGTGTGGTCATCGTAAATACAAGTAAGATATTGTAATAGCAGAAAATCCAACATCGAGCAAGACAGTAACTATGATGAGGAAACGTACATGGAAAGTACAACTGAATTTCATGTCAAAATTGGTGTAAGAAACCCTTTTCGTACTTCTGAAGTACTTATCGAGGTTTTCTATAAGAACTACGATCAACAGCAGCCAATACGTGGACCACACATGATTTGGGCTACCTCCCATAACAATTCAGAATCGTCGTCCGATGACGAGATGTATGTTAGATTAAATTCATAAGTAAACTCTATACTCGTGTAATAATTATATTATAATTTATACCCTTAAATAAACACACAATGTCTTATTTGTGTGCATGTACCCCACCGATTCAAATACAATGTCGGACCGCACATATGGAGACAATAGCAAGGGAAAATATGCGCGACATACAGCAGAAATTAAACACATGGCACAAAAGCACGTGTGTGTACACATAAATCATAGTTGGCACATACTGATACTCAAACTATACAAACACATACTGATCGTAAATATTTTGTGTAAATCACTCAAATAAGAAATAAAATTTATTGATGATACCCGTTGTTCAATATTAGTTGATCTTTTATGATACGATACTGTCGTTTCCACAATGATATGATAATGTTTATAATATATATATATATATA